GCTGTAGTAGCTAGGCCTACAACACGTATAAAAACGTACTAGAAAAGATGCAACGAAAAACTTCCAAGTGTAGAGCTAGCTTATAGTTACTAAACTACCACACTACGCTAAGGGAAAAAGTGGAAAAAAATTTATAAAAATGACAATAAAAGGGTGAACGATACGACTCACTAGATCCTTACTAGCCACTACATGGCGTGCAAACATGACATTGACACGGTCGGTCGGAGCATTAAACCTTGAGGGACTCCGCTCTCGATGACTGTCGGCCATGACAGTGGTCGTCCTACACACAATTTGGGAAAGACCAAAGAAGAAATTCTCAAGCCACGTAAGAAGTTTGCATTCGATACCCATTAGTCTCAACTTGTGCATGAGGCGTTTGTGTGGAACACAGTCAATGGCCTTCCGGAAATCAATGTAGGCCATGTGTGCGGTGTATTTTGCATCAGTTGCCCTTGTCTAGCTTTTCATCGTATAAAACGATTTTGTAAAGCACGAACTACCCCTAAAAAACCAAGAGATTGGCAGTTTCACAATATGTCATAAATTCCTTTTTGACGATCTTCTCCATTACCTTGAATCATATGGAGGTGAAACTAACGGGTCTGTAGTTGTTCGCAAGTGCACGACTACCGCTTTTGTAAAGCGGTTTGAGGTGGGCTGTTTTCAAATCTGGGGGGAGGCTTACAGTATCGAACTATTGCTGGTCTATCATAAACAACGGTTTAGACAGCTCTCTAGCGAGTACACGGAGCAATTTTGCTGGAATCTCATCTGGACCGGGAGACTTACATTCATTCAAGCTGCTTTGTTCTTGAAAAATCGCTTCTTCTTCAAACAGAATATCCTTCAATACTTGGCGCTCCCGCGATCTCATCACTAGGGGGGCTGAAGGTAATTTCTGTACTGAAAGCCGACCAACAGAACTCAGAAAAATGTTCGACTTACTTTTAAAGGTATAATCAGGGAGGAATCACGAACGTTGTAAAGATGATTAACAGAGGTAAGGATTAAAATCCAGGGAAGCTTGGATATATTTTTAAGGTGAAGAGTAGACAGAAGTCAGTTTCCAGTCTCTGAACCCATATACCTTTTAAGTTATTTAGTTGGTACGCAGGTGGTTTGGTCGGATACACGATTTTTTTTAGTAAGATGGCTGTGGAACTTTTTTCGTTTTTGAAAGGCCGGACTCGTTCATCAACCCAACGAATGGATAGCAGTACCCAAGAATGGGAAGGGCAAACATGCGATGAATGTAAAGCAGAAACAAAATACCATCCATCA